TAGGTTTTAGCAAAGAATTTAGCATAATTATGCTAATGCTAGCAAACAAGCTTGTTGAGCAACCCTAACCCAAAACAAAAATGGACTACAACTCCCAGTTGCATACGCAAGATCTTTACAAAAGGCGAAAGCAACAAGAGCACAATAGAACAAGAACTATTAGCTATTCATTGGGCAATAACACACTTCAGACCATATATTTAAGGTAGACACTTCACTGTCAAAACAGATCACAGAGCACTTACCTACTTGTTTTGAATGGTAACCCCCGTGTTCCAAACTATCAAGAATGAGAATTGAACTAGAGGACTATAATTTCCCAGTAGAGTACCTAAAGGGCAAAGATAATTATGTAGCCGATGCGTTATCAACAATTACAATCACGGACTTGAAAAATATTCAATCGAATAATAAAATTCTGAAAGTCACTACCAGAAATCAAAGTAGACAAAAATCCTGCACAGGAAAAAAAAATTTCTTAAGCAATCTACAGAAAAAGCTTATAGGCCCAACGTTTACAACGTCATTGACAACGACGAAGTACTTAAAGTAGTGACCTTGGAAAGACCACGGAAAGAAAATTGCGGCAAGATACGATGTTAGCGATTTGTATACTAATGGAACTCTTGACTAAGGTCAATTCTTTCAAAGGCTTGAAAAGCAGGCTGGTATTAACAAAATCTGCAATAATAATGATGTTTAAAGACATACAGTGGTCGGCATATGTATTTTGACAAAATAAAAGTTAAGTATACTCATAACTTGAATTTACTTCTTGTAAACTATAGGCATCAATGGAAAGGTAATTTCAATGCCGTTTGAATGATACAATACATTTCTTAACCCATTCAGTATTTATTGAAAAGGACGAATTTGTGTAAATCAACTTTTAAATTTTTTTTTCAAACTTTTTTCCTCGACTTGAAAACTTAAACTTTTTGATGCAAAAAGTTTCTTCAAACAAAAATAATAGTAACTGCAAAAAGAATTTTTCAAAAATCATTTTTCTTATATTTTTTATGAATTTTTGAAGGTGACAATGTCGGAAAAAATTTGTATGAAAAAGAGAAAAATATGGCTCAAATGCCTGTTTTTAAGCATTTTCAAAAATTCATAAAAAATATAAGAAAAATGATTTTTGAAAAATTCTTTTTGCAGTTACTATTATTTTTGTTTGAAGAAACTTTTTGCATCAAAAAGTTTAAGTTTTCAAGTCGAGGAAAAAAGTTTGAAAAAAAAATTTAAAAGTTGATTTACACAAATTTGTCCTTTTCAATAAGTACTGACTGGGTAAAGAAATGTATTGTATCATTCAAACGGCATTGAAATTACCTTTCCATTGATGCCTATAGTTTACAAGAAGTAAATTCAAGTTATGAGTATACTTAACTTTTATTTTGTCAAAATACATATGCCGACCAGTGTATGAGAGAACATAAGAAAATGTCCCATATGCCATAAGTCTAAAACCACTAAACATACCAAGCATTTACAATAACTAAAAAGGGCGTTCGATAGGGTAATTGTGGATACAATAGGTCCACTACCTAAATTAGAGACAGGAAACGAATATGCAGTTACATAATTCTGCGACTTATCAAAATATTTTGATACAATACCTATACCAGACAAAAGTGCAAAAACTGTAGCCACTTTAGAAAATTGATTTCTGATGTTCGGTCCAATGAAGACGTTCATTACGGACATGGGAACAGAATATATAAATTAAATAATAGAGGATTTATGTAAAAATTTAAAAATTGAAAACATAAGACCCAGCGCACACCACCATCAGACAGAAGGAGCCGTAGAAAGAAGTCATATAACATTTAATGAATTCCTCAGGTCTTATATATCAATCAACAAATCTAATTGGGATGTTTGGCCCCCATACTTAACTTACTGTTTTAACACTACACCCACTATGGCACATGATTATTGTCCATATAAGCTGGTATTTGGAACAACAGCAAACTTGCCAATACAATTAAATAGCGTAGGTAATATAGATCCGTTATACAACTTAGATGATTATGCTAAAGAATCTAAGTTTAGAGTAGAACTAGCACATAAAAGAGCTAAACTAATGCTAGATAATAACATAATAAAACAAAAAATTAGATATGATTTGGAAACAGGAGACAAGGCTTTATTAAACAATGAAACTGGTCATAAGTTAGACTTTTCATATACTGGTCCGTATACAATAACGGAACTAGGAGCAAGAGATAATATAACAATCTTGAGCAGTAAGCATAAAAAAAAAGTAGTTCATAAAGATAGGTTAAAAATTTGTATTTCATAATCAGTTTATACCAGTGGTCGGCAGCGGCCTATCTAGTGAGCATAGGGAAGTGTTCTGCCCATCCTCTGCTCGCTCACGTATAACGTACATGTTCGTGTGACTTTGGCATGGGTCTTCGGGTAATTTTTTTCTCAACTTCGGCGCGCTTTTTTGTTGCTGCGGCAGAGGATCTCAGTGCAAAGCAGAGAAACGTCTCGCTTCAGCACGCCGCGCGCAAACTTCGTGTTTGTTACACTCACACTAATGCAAGGCAAACTTGTGATGGTATGTGTGTGCCGACCACTGGTTTATACGTACATTTTACTTTAAATTAAATGTATTGTAAGATTTTTTAATATCACAATCACTTCGTTTTTCTTAAAAATAATTTAAATATGACCATTCATAAAAATAAACCATAAGAAAAAAAAAATAACTAAAATAAAAAAAAAAATTTTTTTTTTAAAATACATATATAGATTTTTATACAATATCTAATGCACACTGTACTTAGTGTTATGCACAATGTATATGTATACACTAATCCGAGTCCCAAACAGTTATTCAAAAGCCAGGTAATATGATCGCCGTTGAGTACACTGGGACTGGGCAGTGCTGAGTCTGCATATTTGACATGCGCGACCGCTCTATCACCATGTGAACATAAGACTTCTCCTCTGCCGCGGCGACTGTTCGTATATACATAAGCATTGAAGGCTGCTCTGGCAGCGCAGTTACACTTTCACTAGCTGTACGAAGAATTGTAATATAATTAAGAGTTATTCCATAAAGAGAACTCAAACACAAAAATTGGCATGGATGAACTACCTGGGAAACATTTAAAGTAGTTCTGCCACTTGCGCCTTCTGAGCTTCTATCTGGGCGCTCATGCCTCGCTGCATTTAAGAGCACCATTAACCTCTGCTCACGCCGCTCTGCAGCTTCAAAGGTTTCCTCCTAGTTCCTCTGGTATTGGGGGAACATACTTGATCTCCCCGAGGGGTAGACTCTCCCCACCGGCGGTTCCTTTCAATTCGATTGATTGGCCCAGATCATTTTCTTCGGAAAGAGTATCTACCTGTCCCGGTTGACTTTGTGCACCCACGGCTCGCTTTCATGTGAATCGCCTCGCACTTCGGTGTTTGCGATTCTCTCATCGCGTTGTTACACTGGTCACTCTTCCGGTGTTGGGTTGGAATAGAACAATTTTCTTGGCCCCCTTCATTTATGGAGTTGAGACCTCTTTTTAGGCGTCCTCTTACTCAAATAGTTCATTACTTCGTGCTGATTACCAACGGCTCGCAATTTGTAAAATTTTTTCACTTCGTGCTGCTTAATCAAGGCACCCAATTTCTCACATATTCACGCTAAGGATCAGTGTGGTAAATATTTAACGCCCGGTCAGCGACGTAAACGTTGAATAATTATAGAATGAGTTTGTGTGTATATGGGGGGTGGCGATGATTTTTCTATGCTCACCAAGTTTCTCTTCGGTCAAGAACCGTCCGTTTCTAGGTGAATAGGTTTATTTAAAAGAGTACTATGGTCGCGCCATTCGGCTTGCAACTAATTACTCACACATGCACAAATACATACCAAGTTGCCAGTCTCTGACATCATTGCCTTTCTTAACTTCTTAATAAGAAGAAAGTCAATCGGAAAGTATTTATTTAATCAGTGGACGTAGCATCCTGCTGGAATAAACTTGCACTGCACAGCAATCTCCCGCATCTGCATGCCTTATCCCAACTTGATAGAACTTATAGTTTCCGAGATCACAGCGTTCATACGGACAGACAGACATACGGACATGGCTAGATCAATTCGACTAGTGAACCTTATCAAGAGTATTTAAACTTCATATGGTCGGAAACGCTTTCATCTACCTGTTACATATTGCGACGAACCTAATATTCCCTTTTACTCTACGAGTAACAGGTATAACAAGAAAGAATGCTATAGTCGAGTGACTTGACTTTTATACCCAAAACTCAGCTAGACAATTTACCTCATTAACTTTTTATCCGATTTGATGAACTTTTGACAAGTCAATAGATTTTGAGAAATAAATACAAACAAATTTAAGCTAAAAAAATTCAAAGCCACAAGTTTTTGCGATTTGTGGGTGTTAGAGTAGGACCGACACTCATAGGCACCATTAGAATCTGAATGTCAAATTTGAACTCTCTTGCGCTTAATGAATAAAGAATAAAGATCTGAAATCCCAACGCTCTAGCTTTTATAGTTTCCAAGTTCACAGGGCGCACATACAGCCAGCCAGACAGACAGGCTAGATTGACTCGGGAAGTCATCTTAATCAAAAATATTTATCATTGTTAGAGAAATAATAATGATGGTGAGAGAGAGATTCGTATAATAACTTCCTTCTTTTGTTGTTTTTATGTGTTATTATCGTTAAGAATTACTTTAGCAAAACACGAGTTCTTCGTAGTGTAAGATCACTCCTTTCATTCATAATCAATATAAATTTTACACGATTTAAGCCTGAAGTGTAATAATTGGCACCTCTAAATATATAATATATTATTTTAACAAAACCTGCTTTTCAAAAATTAATTTAAAGAACACCTCTCGCTTTGGTTTGAACAGTTGTCGGATTTTTGGGGTAACAGGTGTTATCGTGCACCTACTATTGATAAACGAAATATTTATCAAGAACAAATTTTGTTGGTGAAAACGAAAAGGCAATTGACAGTCTGAGCCCAGCCATGCTTACTTACCTCTTCTACAGAAACATTTGTTGGCCTTGTTGGTTACACCATTGTCAAACGCGTTGTCCTCAAATACATAGCTATATCCCTTCAGGCTGCCGTAGGTTTTCTCTTCGCCCACACGGTACTATAAGAAAATTAAGTTAACTTTAAATAAAGCACGCTGAGATCGTACAAATTTAATCTGCAACATACCAAGTTGATAGGTCTGCACATGCTTTTTCTGAAGAACTTAACTGTTTCGTTCGACTGAATAAAGCTTTTGAATTTTGTTCCATCTGAGGCGTACTCTATGTTGCTGCAGTGGTTCCCCTCCCACTGTGGTAGTTTTGTTTCTCCACGGTATGTTGCATATAATCCCGAAAGCGCTGGATTGGGCACGCCTGTGTAGAACGTTTCGAAATCCGTAGTGAAGTCGTACATTCTATCGATGAGACCCACTTTCTCAAAGCGTATCCAATTCGGAAGAAAAGTATTTCCCAGAGTGGCCAAAGCCGAGGGGTAACCGAACATAAATTCCTTGGCAGTGGTTCGAACTATTGGCTCGGACTTTGTGCTGACGAGCAGTGTCTTTAAAGCCATTCTAACTAAGAACGGTTGGCTTGCAGTTAAGTGTGATATGGCCTAAAAACACAATGTGGGTTAAAGTAAAATCTAATTTTCCTTGAAGAGTGTAAATTAATTTATTATTATTAAGCAATAAACTGCTTGTGTACGTTAGATCATATTTATATATTTGTGTATTTGTGTATGTCGGTTGCTTCAATTGCTTGTTCTCAGTACTCAGTACTATGACTTTCTTTCTCTTGTCAACGTAGGGTACCTCAAATAAAGCCTAGTGGTAGAACCTAAAGGAAAGAAAGGTTCGGAGAGGTATGACTTTTCTAATTTATGTTGACTACCAATTTCTGAGCAATTTATGTTGACTATGTTGAATGCCCATTGACCAGGGAGAGTGTTGAAAAGAAGTTGTCTGACTCCAGACATGCACCAGACTTTTCTTCGGCCAGCATCTTACAATAACAAAATCATTACAACATTACTCTTAATACGCCCACACATACCAAACAAAACTTTAAAACATACACCGAAAATTCGCTTACATCTACAGACACTTGGCCAAAAGAGATCCCACAAGAGGTAATGCTATAGTGGATGCCATTGACTGTCAAATACATGTTACTCAGCAAAGAGGAATGCAATCAAAATTGCACTTACACTTTTAAAAAATCTTCAAGAGTGTGGGCGCTATACAGTTTTTGCGTGGGCATATGGGAGTTTGTGGGCATTAGCGTGGGCGTGGCACCCTGCTGAAGGAAACTTGCGCTGTCCAAGAACATCAAGAATATGCATGCCAAGTTTATAGTTTCTGAAATCTCTGCGTTCATCCGGACGGACAGAGAGACGGACGCACATGGCTAGATCGACTGGGTTAGTGATCCTGATCAAGAATATATATTCTTTGTAAAGTCGGAAACGCCTAATTCCACCTGTTATATCCAATTAAACTGCACGCATATGCGAGTTCCTCTAGTTATGGTGTCATGTTGTTGAATCGAATAAGGGACGATCCTCATGTGGTAGAATATTTAAGTTAAATCAGCTCGTCCGCTGAGTTAAAATACCATTCGTATGAATTGGATACTTTGGTAGGTGTTAAAGCTTGTAAGCGTTTTAGAAACTACCTGCTGTGAAGTCAGTTTTTGGACTATACTGAGTGTAATTCTTTAAAGGCTGCGCACAAAAAACTGCAGTTAAACCCTATGGTGTTTTGGTGGTGGGCCTGTTTACTGTCTTTTTACTTTGACATACAGTATAGGGAAGGAAAACATATGGGACATGTTGATTTTTTTAAAAAAGGTTATTTCCCATCGTAGGAGGTTATATGTTAAAAAACACTGAAGTTATAATTTGTTTCATATTATTTTTCCACAAATTTTCCGATCGATATATGATATAGTCGTCCGATTTTGATAAAACTTAATACGAAATTCAACACTAATTAAAAATATGTTATTTACAAGCTTAGGAGGTAATATATTAAAAAACACCAAAGATATAATTTTTTTTAATTTTTTGTTCCGATTATTCCTATGGGAGCCATAAGATTTAGGTGTCCGAGCCGGCTGGTTCCGGCTTATATACTACCTGCAGAAGATATAAGACTTTTGGGAAAGTTTCAGCCCGATAACTTTAAAACTGAGAGGATATTTTGCGTAGAAACGGACGGACAGACGGACATTGCTAGGTCGACTCGTCTAGTCATGCTGATCAAGAATATATACACTTTATGGGGTCGGAAACGTCTCCTTCACTGCGTTGCAAACTTCTGACTGACTGAAATCAAGCAAGGGTATAAATATGTAATATTTTTATATTATATTTTTTAAAAAAATTAATTACATGATATGTATTTGTATATTAGTATTTTCAATAATTGAAAAATGTTATATTCAAATAAATATTTTAACATTACATACGTACCTTTCCTGTATGTTAACTATTATAAAAATAAAAAATTACAACTGTTAACGTTGTCGCGCGCCAATTTTACTTCCAGCTTGTGCTGCTGCCTATTGACACAGGTTTGAGTTCCAAGAGCTTATTTCCACAATCTTATTTTAGCCCATTTGAATTCCCCTACTGCTTTGATCGAGGAAAATAACACATCAGTGGAAACAAGTGCAGCCGATCTGCCAAAATTTTGGGCGCACTTTTCCACCCTTGTTTAGGTTGCCAGAAGAAGATCCGACAACTTACAGTGGCGAAAAAAATAATAGCACCACTTCAATACATTTTCTTCTGGGTAAAATAAAATTGTTTTCAGTGTTTGTTTTTTTTCAACACAAAATTTTTGGTACTCTTTAGTATTCTTTCTAACGAAAAAATGTGTTAGCTTATTTTTAAATCCTGCCTATAAATTTAATTTTAAAAGTTTAATTAATAAAACCCAAAAAAGGGCAAAAAAAAATAGCACCACTACAACATTTATTAGAAAAACCCCATATTTTGACGAATAGCCTTAATACAAAGAACGAGTCAATTAAATTTATCTATAATGCAATATTTTGAACATAAAAAGTTTGATAATACCATTGAAATGGGACGTGGAAAGCATTGCACTGAGGAAAAGTGTGATATCATCCAAAAGTTTATAAAGGATGGAAAATCTTACAGAGTAGTTGGTCGGATGTTTAAATAAAATGATAAAGAACGCTCTAAACTATGAAGAAAAACCTGAAACACGAGGACGAAAACAATCTATGACACCACTTCACGTCAATCGATTGATTCGTCAGAGCAAGAAGGATCCTTTCAAATCTGCTACTGAGCTTAAAAAGGGGCTTAAAATAAATGCGACGGTGCAAACTGTGCATACATATCTCAGGGAACACAACCTAAAAGCCTGCAGCCCGAGAAAGGTACCACTTTTAAATGACAGACATATTTCTAAGCGAATGAAGTTTGCCAAGGATCATGCAAATTGGTCACCCGATCAGTGGAGGAATATTTTACGGTTAGATGAGAACAAGGTGATTATGTTTGGTGGAAAAGGATCCAGATCGTATTTCAGACGTCCAAAGAACCCGCAATTTAAGCCCCAGTACACCACAAGGACCATAAAGCATGTAAGGCGTAGTGTGATGGTATGGGCCTGCTTTTCCTATTACGGAGTAGGCCCGATACATTGGAACAAGGCCATTGTGGATCAACACGTATACGTGGATATCATGGCTACCATTATGCTACCTTTAGCAGAGTATGAAATTCCGCTCGTGTAAGTCTTCCAACAAGATAATGACCCCAAACATACCAGCAAGAAGGCATAGAAAAGGTTTGGGGACAACTCTGTGTATTATTTTTTTCGCCACTGTAGATGTCGTGTTGGTGCGGCATCCAGCGTAGGAATGTACTGCCTACATTTGTGCGTTGCTGCACGACTGTTACCTGCTACGGGTGCACTTGTCGATCGGCGCTTAGCAGTAGCATGAATCTAAGGGCTGCTGTTCGAACTCCTTGGCAAGGAGTCCGGGACCGAACGAATGACATCACTTCTGGTCTTCCTGGTTCCGCTAACGCGGAACACCGTGAAACGGGGCTCTGGCGACCGAGTAGAGGCGGTATAACCTCATCGGAAAGTCGTGGGGAAATTCGCGGCCATCGGTGGAAACCTCGATCTGCGCACACTGATCTTATCGCCAAAAACCCACTTAGCGTCTGACCCACACTGGGCGGTTGCGTGGTCTGGGCCCCCACGACCAGGGCACGGATTCTAGAGGCTTTAAATCCCATTCTCAACAACAAACCTGGCGAGCCGGTGGCCGTCTCGACAGTGAATGCACCAAGTTTAAGCAGGAGGAACGACAACAAAGGCACGGAAGCAGCCGGAGAGTTTAAGAGCAGCTCGAAGCTTCTTAGGTCACCAGTCCTGGAAAAACCCGCGGGCCAGCCGTCCCCGCGGGAAGAGGATAAGATGCAGGACGCGGCCAAGCGCCAAAGAGACCCAGGCAACCCAACCGGTGGGCAAAGAACTGCCTCTGTTAAGAGGCCCAAAACGGACCAGGAGCTCACTGGACCGGGACAGCTCGCGGAGATTGGAGCGCTCCTCTACGTGTTCCTCCACCTCAGGAGCGTAATGCAGGTGCGTCACATCAATGTGACCATGAAAGCAATGTTCTCGAGGATGAAGTCCCTCCAAGAAGGTGCAGTGATCTCCTTCAGCCAAGTTGGAGACTCCCACCAGCAAAAAGAGCACACGGAGTGCAACAAATGCAAAGGCCCACTCCGAAACAGCGAGAGCAAGGAGCAACAGACTCCGGCTTGTCTCCAAAAGGACAATGCCGCTCAAACGGAGTTCTGGCGAAACGCGGCACAAGGCCCCATGGTCACCATCGCGGCGCAAACAGACCCGTGGCGATGGCTAAGTCAAACCGGCACGGTTCTGACGAAGGAGAGCCCCCAACTCCACCAGCGCAATCGTCTGCGCGAAGAGCGCCATCGGGTTCCCAGCAGAAAAAGAGGAGAAATCCACAAGAGGAGCATGCCAAAAATTGAGGCCCCCGAGAAAAAACAGCCGCGAGAGGCAGCGCTGGAAAGGACGCGACCACCGCCTGGAGAAAGACTGCTCCAAAAAAGCGGGCGCGAAAACCTCACCGCTCGGACGCCCTTATAGTGGAAGCGAATGGCAAGATCTACAGCGAAGTCCTAGCGATGGTCACCCGTAGGGACAACGGCAAGCTGCAAAACCTCAGCACCCGAGTATACAAGGTCAGGCGCACAGCGAACGGGAACCTTCTTCTGGAGCTCAACAGAAGCAAGGACACCAGCACGGAGGCAATAAAAGAGAGCCTTGACGCGGTTCTAGGAGAAGCGAATGCGGTGCGAGCGCTATCCGAAAGCGCGAGGACAAAGACGGTGGTCATTAGCGACCTTGACCCGCTAGTTGTGGCCGAAGATGTCACCAAAGTTCTGATGGATAAATTCGCCGTGAACGCCGAATCGGTTGGACTCCTCTACGTCCATCATACAGAGACACTCAGGCGGCAGTGGTTGGACTGCCCAGCAAAGACGCAGAAGCGGTTCTCGGTAAGGGTAAAATCAAGCTATGATGGTCTATCTGCAAA